GTTCATTGAAAGGAAGTGAAAAAGTTCACTTGGTCTTGTTAGATCCTTATCATGTAAGGTTGAAGAAAAACTTTTATGAAAGAGCTTAGAATTGTAACAGAATGCTAATCCAAGATCACAAAAAGGCACGCTTCAATAAATATATATATAAATATTTATGTATTATAAATATTTATATATTTATTAAATATACTTAATATATATATTTATATATTTATAAATATGTATATTTAATATATATATTTATATATTGCTTTTCCTAAAATTATTAGAATGTATATATTGCTCTTCCAAAATTATTTTCCTGAATTATTTATTATTTTCATTTCAAAGTGGATTGCTATTATCAGTATCATTAATATTAAAATAAATGTTTTATAAAATGTTCTCTATATATTGTTTAATCATGTTTAAATATTGCCCCCCACTTCCATGTCACAGAAAACTGCTATGAACTTAATAATCCTTACTTGAAGTAAATGTATTTATTTTAATATCATTTTAAAACAAAAACATGGTTGTTCTCTAACAAAGATATCCATTCTGTATTCTTTTGAAGAACACTGCAGGGAAAAAAAAACACACACACACACACATTGTAGAAATAACACTATCTACTCTCTTGTTTTTGAATTTTATTCTTCTTTCACCATCATTTTAAATTTTCTAAAATGATATATATATTGCTGAATGTATCTGTGAGATGTAGAAAGTTGATCAAAATGAACTTTGATATACTGTCAACTCTTTGAAGACAAAATTATTTCTTATATGTATTTTTAATGAAGTTCAAAACTATTTGAATGAATGCATGCATGCATGCATTTATTTGAGAGAATCTTAATAAAAGTTACAGCATTCCATGTGCTTTTTGAGGAGAGTATAGAATCATATAGTATTTTATGATTTTCTTCTCTAAAAATGAAATGTGTTTCTTAGTTATGCTTCATATTTATTAATATACAGTTTCAAAGTAGGTTTTTGTATAGGTTTCTGTAATCTCTTTTGGTTTCTTTACATACCTCCTTTCATCAGGAAAACAATTTTATGAGGATAAATCAGAGAAGTGTTAGTATTCCAGAGAGTCTTCTAAGGGTTACAGTTCTGTGGCCTGAGGATTAAAAGATAAACAGGAAAGTAGTTTTGCTGAAGTTATATTAGTTTGAAGCTTGGAAACAAAGGGAGTAATTCAAAAGACAGACTCTATTAACAGTGACTACATCTACAGACATTTCCTTGTTTGTTAAAGTATATTCCTTCAGGGATTCTTTGCCCAGACCTATAAGAAGAAACATTTTTAAGACCTTGAAAATAAGCATGTTTCTCACATACTTTGATTTTGTTCCTTAAAATATATAGAACTTTCATTTTAAAAATAGATTTAAAAAAACATTCTGGCCTTTTAAACATTCACAGTTAGTTAGGTTTCAGGCTTGTTGAAGAGTTCCCATCCAACATTACTGTAATTAGTTTCTTTAATTTGGCCTGATTTATTCTAAACTATTCCAAAAGGTATTCGAAGCACCAATTCTTTTTCTGGGAAGAAAGTGGAGGTACAGTCAACAAACATCAGGCCTTTGATTGTGGTGTTTTTCTCTTTGTGAACTGAAAAACATATGTGGAAATGAGAGTTAAAAATCATAATTTAGTTTTAATAGAGTATCACATATTTTCAAAGATATCAGTGAGATAAGCAAATGTATAACTAAAGTTGTGGTAAAGTTTCATATTTCCTACAGCTAACAACTAATCATTTAGATCAACTAATCATTTATTTACATCATTTTATAAAAGTCTAAAGTTAGAGAATGATATTAAACAAACAAGCAAATAAAAATCTACCTTAAGTTTTGAGGTAACACATCTAATAATATCTTACGTTTTTGACTTGGATAAGCAGAGGAGATCCTTTGGTCTAAACTTATACGGTATGGAGAAGGCCACCAAGTCTGTGAAACTAAGTCAGATGATGATGGAGCTGAGGTTCAAGCCCAATACCCCCTACATAGCTGGTGGCACATTTCCAGGGTATTCAGGAACATACTTTTTACTCTAAATCAGTAATTAAAAAGTGAGACATTTTTACTCCTATTTAGATACTGTTCAAGTTGCATAAATGAATTTAAAATCAAAACATGAAACACTCCACTTGCAAAAACACAATTTGAAATGATATATTCAGAGTGTAGGGTTTGTTTGTTTCTTTTTACTGCACTATTAAAAAAAAAAAGAAAGCTTGTGCACTCCCTTTCTTTCCCTCCCCCCTCACCGCATTCTCTCTTGATCTACCCTCTTACAAATATAAATTCAAGCTTCAGGGTTGATTTTATAAAGTGTTATACAGAAAGAGAAGCATAGTAAACCACTGAACTTTTTAAAGAATTTGCCTCAAAAAGACAATATTCAAATAATTGACACAGCCTTGAATTTTAAACTCACTTTAAAGCACGCCAGATTTGAATCTCCAAATTTATTACCTGATTTCATTGGCTGAAGGTTGATCTGCAGACTGTTTCTAAAGACTGGCATGCACATAGCCAAGGCTAATATTATGTTAAAGGTTTATGTTGGACAAAAAATTTTCATAATATAAATAAATATAACCATATTACTAGAAATTATATTCAATTTAGGCTTTTAAAACTCCTCTCCTTACCACAGAAATTTCAAAAAGTATTTATAATTCTTAATGAGGATATCTTTTCAGAAATATTCTGCCCTAAAATCCAGGATGCATTTATGCTAAGTATTATGTAGATTAACTTAGTAAGGTATGTGGTTTATTTATAGCACTTTCACAAATTTATAAATAAATATTTGTATTAATATAATGTATAATTTTTAAAATATTTTAAAATGAAATATTTTATGCAGATACAGTGCTTGATTTTGCTTAATAAATATTCCATGAATACAAGTTTATGTGATCACTTACCTGAACAAGGTAATCACATACATAAAACATGTATTCATAAGCATGGTGTGTGTGTGTCCACACTTATGATTGTAATTCACAAATGGCCACCTTTGTATAGAAGATTATTTTCTGCCTGGAGAGCCCATTGCTACATACTTGGGCTCATCTCCATTTTAGGCTCATATATGCAGTTAATGAAACATGCTAAAAACTAATACTGTTGTTTTCTAACAAGTTAGTTTCAGTATGTATCTGTCAGTATTTCAGAACTCCTTAGAAAGTTTAGAAAAGGGATTGACTTTCGTATTCTGAAATACTAATTACCTGGAGAGAAAATGAAACGCAACAGTGGAAATCAGTAAAGGCAATTGATGATTTTTCCATCCCTGAAGTCTTTCAGTTTAATCTGGAAATGTTCACCCTTAAATTCTTAGTGAACACTTTTAAAACAGGACCTCTCCCATTATATTTGAAATTTAATAAATGTTTAGTCAATCTACGTTTATCTGTGTTGCAGAAATTTCCATTTTAGTTTTTCTTCAAGGTATAAATATGGTTAAATGATAATCATATGGGGAAAATCCCAGGGATTTTATCACAGTAAATAATGAAATAAATTGAAATGAACTGCAAAACAATGGTCTTAAACATAATCCTGGTTAACTGTGGCACCCAAAATTGTCTGTTGTTGTATTCCTTGGAATACGTTTGAACAGAAGTATTTATTTTCATTTCTTTTCAAGGATCTGGGAAGTTCCAAAGTCCTGCATTGCTTGCATCCACTTATTTAAAATACAGAATTAAGTTGCAATGTGCAAAGCTGACTAATAGAGCTTTGCTCAAGCAATATAACATGTAATCCTGTAATTTAAAGCCTTTCAATGCATTATTGCTCTTGTGAAATGGCTTTACAGTAAGGTAATAATACAAGGAGGGAACCAATGGGAAAATTGTAAAGTGTAGACCATTAGCGTTTGAAGTATACTTTCTAAGGAAATTTTATTTCAATGCATGCTCATAGCAACTGGGTTAAAAGAATTGCGTAAAACTCATATAACATCCACGAACCATTTAAAGAAAAAGTGACATAATGTGCACAGAAGGAGCTACGATTTGTGATTCTCATAAAAGTGGTTTTGTTTTGTTCCTCCTTGGTTAGTAATGACTTGAAATTGCATCCAGTTTATCTCTATTAAGTTAGAGAGGTTAGAAGTATAGTAATTACTTATGAAGGAATTTACAGCCAGATGTCGGAAAATACATGGTCTTATTCCCATTATTTATTCACTTAGCAGAATTGTGTTCACACCCCCATGCCCAGCAACCTAGCACATCTGCCTTGAACACTCTGGCACATTTAATGGTCAGTTCTGTTACTGCACATTTAGAGGGAACCTGCTGAATAAGTTTGACATAGAGTTCTATTGGTTAATTCTTGATTACATTACCAAAAATTCTGTAAGAATACAAAAAAACTATGTTTGCCTTTCTCTCCACTTTCATTAAATTGTTTGCTGAGAAAAGGGGAATAAATTCAGCCTAGCAGAGCTTTCTCCAAAGCTAAATGATTATTTATTTTGGGAATATAACTCTATTGCTATCTCTATCTCTTTTATTTCTGCATTTGTCAAAAGTTTCTTAAGAAAAGCCTTGAAAGTCACACATAGACAGAAACTCAATGGAACACGCATTCTCAGGAAATGAACAATGCACAGAGTTGCTAAAACTTTATAGTAACCAAGATATTTATGGCAAAAGATTTCTCTGAAATACCACTTACGCAATAAAATGCTAGGATAAAGCTATTTTTTGGTTACGGTACATGGCACCTAAACATTTTATTAAATTGTTAGAATTGTTTGAAAAATGTCAGCCAGCCTATGATAGAGACCATTAAATCTTGGAATAGCATATAAAAGGAGACTTTCTAAACAAAGAAAAAAAGTGTTTTATCTGGTACATAAGCTTAATCCACTTACTGAATTACTTCAGACTTCAACATCCTTAGCTTTTTTTCCCCAATCCTCTTTTTACTTAGATTTGTTAAGGTGTTTTTACACATAACGCACTCTTATATCTTAACTGTTTTGGAACATATTGGTTCCATTTATTGTACCATAAGGCAGCAAATTGAGGTAAATATTATACAAACACTTACCAAGTGTCCCACTTGCAACAACTAAGTACACAATAAGGAATATATCTTATCTATTAATTTCACTTGATCACGTGGAACTATAACTGAGGGAAGTCAACTGGTCTATTTAATGACCTGTTCCAGAAGACGATTTAAAATCAGCTTTTGTTTTCTTATAAATCCCATGTGCAACAGTCAGCTTCTCACTGTTCATTGAGCAGTAGTGACTACCTCCATCTGGCTAGAGACTCTGCAAACCTGGTTAAAAATGAAATGGCTTGTTAGAACAAAGGAGAGAGGAAGTGCTTTTGAGGGAGAAGAGAGGACTTTTCCCACCTTTAAGACATCAAGAAGGAAGAAAAAAGGGTGTCTCTCGGTGGAAAGATCTGGAATGGGAATTGTGAGGATAGAAGAGGACTTACATAAAGGAATTGATGAGCGTTATCTGTAGGGTCAAGAGAGTATTGAAGGGATGCCAGTCAACTTGCAGTGGGGTTGAAGGAGGTCTCCTGCCCCTAGAAGAACTGGAAAGGTGAACTTTGCAAAATCCACTGGGTAGGAACATGTGTCAGGCTCCTGAAGTTGAACATAAGCTTATTTATGCAGTGGATAAATTCAAGTTTACCTAGTTAGTTAATACATTACTGTGACAAAGTTACTGCTTGTCATGAACTGCCAAGGGTTCAGTTGGAGGAAGAAAGCATGATGACTAAGCCAAATGCTTTGTTTAATGTTCCTAATTTTAAATAATAATTTCTAGAAGGTAAAGCCAAAACCAACTAGGTAAATACAAATCACTGTACCCTCTTGAAATAAAAGAGGGAAAACTGTATTTAAATTAAGTAGAGAAAGACCTATAAGCTATAGTGCCATAGGAAAAGGAAAAGCTAGCATGTTCCTCACTGAACTTTGGAAAAACATTTCTTCCAAAAAGGAGAATGACTGAGACAAATCAGAAGAAACCTTACATGCATGTGGCATCTTTATTTCTGAAGATGCATAATTTCAACATTTACAGTTTATAAAGCACTTTCAAAACCATTAACCTTTTGAGCTGGATGAAACAGATTTTTAACCAGATCTATCAATTTTGTTAAACTAACAAATTATTTTTGCGAATTGTTTTCCTATGTGTATTTGCATTGTCAGGTGTCTGGAAAACTTAGGAACAAAAAAGAGAAATAAGAAAATACCTGGCTGGGCGTGGTGTCTCACGCCATAATCCCAGCACTTTGGGAGGCCGAGGCGGGCAGATCACGAGGTCAGGAGATCGAGACCATCCTGGCTAACATGCTGAAACCCCGTCACACAAAAATACAAAAAATTAGCCGGGCGAGGTGGCGGGCGCCTGTAGTCCCAGCTACTCGGGAGGCTGAGGCAGGAGAATGGCGGGAACCCGGGAGGCGGAGCTTGTAGAGAGCTGAGATTGCGCCACTGCACTCCAGCCTGGGCGACAGAGCGAGACTCCGTTTCAAAAAAAAAAAAAAAAAAAAAAAAGAAAAAGAAAAGAAAATACCTATGTCCTCATCACCTAGAATTAAAATATGCTAACATTTTACGATATTTCTGTCTCCAGTTTTTTTTTTTTTTTTAATGATAACCTTGTAGTATAATTTGAGGTCTAGTAATATGATGCCTCCAGCTTTTTCTTTCTTTCTTTCTTTTTTTTTTTTGCTTGGGATTGCTTTGACTATTCAGGCTATTTTTGGTTCTATATGGATTTTCAACAGATGTCTTTTAAAAAGGATATGTTTTTTTTCGTACTTCTGTGAAAAGGGATGTTGGCATTTTGATAGGGATTGCACTGAATCCATAGATTGCTTTGGGCAGTATGGTCATTTTGACAATATTAATTCTTCCAATGTACGAACATGGGATGTTTTTCCATTTGTGCAATTTATGACTTTTTTTAAATCAGTGTTTGGTAGTTTTTCTTGTAAAGATCTTTCAACTCCTTGGTAAAATATATTCATAGGTCTTTTTTGTAGCTATTGTAAATGGGATTAACTTCTTGTTTTGGTGCTTGATTGAATATTTATTGTGTAGAAATGCTACTGATTTTTGTGTATTGATTTCTGTCTCAAAGTTTTAAAGAAAAAATGTTTTTTTAAAGAAAAAAGCCAAAAAAAATTAAAAAAAAAACAGACTCTCTGGATACTCTAGAGTTAACATTTCCTTCATATCCTTTTATGATCTGCCTATTTTTTTCATTTCACATAAGCAATCCCCATTTTGAAATTAATATGTATTATAGCCATCTACATTTCTATGATTTGATTAGGCATTTATATAACATTCGGTTTTAAAAATTTGTCATATGACATTTTCATTTTAAATCAAAATAGGTGTCACTGCAGCTGAACACTGATTTGTTCAATAAAGTTTGATGAGCATTTTAGCTCAATTTTCTGGTTATGTTTAAAGATAACAAAAAATAAGCAAAAAAAGAAAGTACATAGAAAACATTAAAGAAAAGGCTGTGGGTATAGGCTCAAGATATCCTTATTTGGGCCAGAATAAATTTCAGGATACTAAATGATTAGAACAATTTTTCAGAAAGAATAAGAATCTGTACTGTGGGTCTCTTAAAATATAAATTTTATTAGTTTCTAGATATAAGTATAAAGATACGTGCTTTGATGAAAGAATGATTGGAGGTGTTCTAAGAGCTCTTTTCTTATCTTCTTATGGATAGAAGATTGTTCCTGTGTCTGAGAAAATATTTTGGAATCAGAACCTGTTCAATATGGGTGTAATTGCTAAACTGACTCCACTGAGGAAAACACTTTCTGAGGAAGTACTCATTTCATCCTCTCTAGTCCTTTCAATTTTGACAACAGCACAAACAGTTGCATGATTCCAGAGATAGAGCAGGAGAAGAAAGCCATGAGTGTATAGCGTCCTTGAAAGCCAATACATAAATGAAACAAGAGGTAGTACTCAGTTGTGTTGCATTAGATAAGAACTGAGAATTGCCATTTGAATTAGTAATGTGTAAATCATAGGTGATTGTAGTAGGGCCATTTCAGTGGAATGGGCGTGCTTGAAACCTAATACATGCGGATCTCTAAAAAAATGGATAGAGAGAAGTTGAAGACACTAAGTTTAGACTATTATTTAAAGTAGATTTATTTCTGCAAATATGAATTTCTTTTGAATTATTAAACAAATGTTCTGTTTTAGAATTCTTCATGAAAAGAATCTTTAGTTTATTAAAATAGGTAGGAATAACATTTTCAGTGGGAGTTTTTAAATAAGTGGAAGTGTTATTTAATGAAACCTATAGCACAAAAGCACAAAACTATTGCCTCTATAATGACTGCAAAACTTTTATGAAAGTGCTATTGATTTTTAGTAAAAAACTTTGATTTTGTAAGAAAGTAGGAGTAGTAATAGAATCATAAATAATATTAAACATTGCTACCGCATTACAGTTGAGTGGAAAATGTAAAGAACCCTCTTTTTAGCAAAGAAAACAGCTGTGTTTTTCATAAAAAGATCTTTCATAAAACTTTGTTGTTTTTACTACTGTTGATTATTTTTCTCTTAATATGGCTAGAAGTTCTTTTTTGAAAATTTGTATCAAAAATGAAAGAGTAAAAATACCTGATTATGTGAAAACTTTGAGCCAGTATTTCTATAGGTAGTGAATGGTAATTTTCCCAGGAACTACAATGGATGTTTTGGAGTGGCAAGATTTTTTTTTTTTTTTTTTTGTTGAGACAGAGTCTGGCTTTGTCGCCCAGACTGGAGTGCAGTGGCCGGATCTCAGCTCACTGCAAGCTCCGCCCCGGTTCACGCATTTCCTGCTCAGCTCCGAGTACTGGACTACAGACGCCGCCACCTCCCCAGGACTAGTGTTAGCAGGATTTCACCCTACCGGATCCCCTCTCCCTCAATGCTGATTAAGGTGAGCACGGCCCTGGATGGCAAATCACATATTACAACAGACTTCAATCATGGAATTTTAAAGTATAAAACAAATGTATTTTCAGTGATTTTCATTGAATATGATTGTTATTATTGAACTTTAGACTTCTCAAGTTTGATTTACATATGTACCCCCCAATAGAAATCTGATTTAGCAAATCCATCTTACCTAAAATTCAATATGCAGTCATTTATATTAAATTTGGCAAACAGTAAAATTGTTGGGTTGGATGAAACTTGAGAGGTTTTTTTTTTTTTTTTGAGACAGAGTCTCATTCTGTCACCCAGTCTGGAGTGCGGTGGTGTAATCTCGGCTCACTGCAACCTCAACCTCCTGAGTTCAAGCTATTCTTGTGCCTCAGACTCCCAAGTAGCTGGGATTACAAGCATGCACCACCACACCCGGTTAATTTTTATATTTTCATTAGACGGGGTTTTGCCGTGTTGACCAGGCTGGTCTCAAACTCCTGACCACAGGTGATCCGCCCACTTCAACCTCCCAAAGTGCTGGGATTACAGGCGTGAGCCATTGCACCAAGCTGAGACTTCTAAAATAAATATTATTTTTAGAAAATGTTGCAACTCTTCCGGAAGTAGAAATTTGTTAGGAAGGATTCATAGTGATTAAATTTTTTCCCATAAGAATTTTTTTTCTTAAAAGTTTGGCTATTTATAATAGTTAATCTCAAAATATTGTTTACGGTGTTACTTTTTTCTTTTATTTTGCTCTGAGTTATATATTTATAATTTGCAGAGGAAATTTACCTCATAAGACTCAATTTTAAAAAATAAGGAAAGAACAGTAAGTTAAAAATTTTCCTTTGATGCCATTCACTGTTCCAAAAACAAGAGCTGCTCCAGAATGAAACCCAGGAGAGGCTTAGGGGTGAGATCTTTCAGGGATGGAAGGACTTAACTTGGCATCACAATGATATTGCAAATGCACTCATTTTGTTATGTTGCATATTTTCTTGGAAAAGTTGGAAGAAAAAGAATGACCTTTAAAGCTCACTCTTGGCACTGTTGGCCTTTATATGAAGTCCAATTCTACAACATCTTGTTATATGTTGTACTATTGAATTTAATGCACTGACAGGTTCTATTTCTTCTGAAATCAATCCTTACATTCTTCATGTTTGAACTACTATCAAATTACTCATGGCTCATGAGAATTCGTGTCTTCTGGCCTTTGCATATGCAGTTCCTTCTGTCACAAATGTGTGCTAACCATGATTCCCTCATCAGTCCATCTCTTGAGACTCTCTATTCATGTGTCTAACCTGGGAGTCTATGCATACTCTTCTCTGTCCCTTAGCAGTCTGCAGGTGGCATGTTCACGCATCATGGTGGTTATTTATTTTCATATTGTTTCAGGGCTAATGTGAGAGTATTACAGATATTAAACGCCATATCTTGATGATCCAGTACAATCTTGACACATAACATGCACTCAGTAAATGTCTGATTATCAAACAAACAAACAATAGAATGAGTGAATGAATGAGTAATAGATGAACCCATTAAGGGAGATATGGCACAGTAGAAATTGCCCAAAATAGAATGAAGTGAACACTTGTCCTGTTTTTACAGGGCAAATCCTTGAGCAAATGGCAATGAATATATCTGAACCTGTGTCTTCATAATCTTTTAAAGGATGGATTATATT